TAGGAGGTCAGTCATAAATTCATAGTTGTGAACTGCATTTATGTTTATAAACTAGTTGAAAAAGGGACTAATATATAAAATATCCAACATGGAAAATAATCTAATTTTGAAATGGAAAATGTCTCAGCCAAATTCAGGGTGAATGACTGAATGTAGTGTAAAGTGCTTTGGTCAAGAACCCTGACTTGAAAATGCGCTATATAAGCACAGGCCATTTACCATTTACTATGTTTTATAGAGTGTTGGGAATCCTGGGCCTTAGATTGACAAAGTGAGTTAAGTTAAGAGCATCCTGCCAAGGCAAATCAAATGTAATTTATTGATTTCTATGTTTATAAACAAAAAAAAAAATAAATAAATTATGCATTTTTTGCATCTTTTTCAGGGCTAAGAAATACTAAATTGATTGCAATGAGACATTAAGGCTGTTGTGCTCATTTGGTGAAGCCTGCAAGTATATTGAGTTTAAATAAAATTTCCTTCAAGGAGCGGCAGCAAACACAAACAGGTTGATAAAGGATGCATTAGAGCACATTCTCAAAGCAACAGCAAACAAGTGGTGTGGGAGAAAACATGTCGAAAGAGTTGGACGGGAATGGAAAGATGTCAGGATGTGATAAATGATGTTTCAGGAGCGAGTAGAGACTTAGCAAGCAGGTAAAGGAAGACCAGTGGGACAGGAGGTGAGAGTTAAGAAGGGAGGTGAACAGGGCGGAGAACTGAATAAACATCAGGATGATTGACTGCGATGGAGGAAGGTGGAGACAGAGTCTGTTTTCCAGATGCCTCAGTTAAAAGATAAAGGGAAGAAAGGAGTGCTGTTTATCTCTGGGGAAATGATCAGAAGCAGAAGAGGGAGATGTTTGGACGGGTCAAATCGGGGGCAAGTAGAGTTCTGTGGTAAAACAAGCAGCAAAGTGCTGGGCAGGGTGGTAAAAGACAGGGAATAAGGGGGGTGACATATTATGGCCTTTCTCCCGTGACCAATTATGGCCTGTAATGACCAAATCACTTATTTGCTGATAGGGTCTACCACTGGTAACTGAGCTAATAAATCTCACATGACTTATTGCAGCCACAGGCGCATGCAGAGGCAGTCCCACACGCTAACAGTTTACTCAAAAATAAGTTCACCAGCACCCTCTCTGTGGGAACTTTAAACAGACCTGGTGAGATGCTAATGCAATTAAACACGCCTCTTCTGTACACAATTGAGAATAATTAAAAGGTCAAAGAGGACACTGTAAGCCATTAATATCTCATCTGTATGTATTTGTTGTTGCTAAATTGCTTTGCGAGTAGAGTGCTGTTGCTAAAAGGTAGAGGATATGGTGTTTGTTGCATGTTATTCACTTGTCCTTGTAAGGAATTAACTCTCCATGTAAGCTTAACAACTTGTTTTGTCACATATTTAACGGAGACCTCATGAAAAAGCAGCTCTCGTATAGCACACATTGCATCTTCTGACTCCGCTGATATGTTACAAATGAGCTAATATACGTATGTCAAGCCACCGTGTGCTATTGTGTGCGTATTCCTTGGGGAACGGAGATCCGTGTTCAGAAGATGTCAAGCCCTATGTGGCCATTGTTAAAGCTTACAGTGCTCAGCAGGTGCAGCTCTGCACCCGTTGAGACATCTGCAGGTTTATCCTCTGCTCTTCAGACAGAGAGTGATGGGTGAGGCCTTTTTCTCTCAATCCATGATTCTTTTAAATATTCCTTTAAGATTTTTTTAACGAATAGCTCAGTGGAATAATGTGAAAAAGTGGGTCTCTTGCCTTCCATTTCTTAATAATTTGGAATAAGTCACAATTTTTGTTTGATTGTTTTAGCTTTGGTCATTTCAAAATACTCAAACTTTCTCCCACATTCAAAAGCTTGCATGTTAACTTCTCATTAGGCTTTTACATGTCTGCAGGTTTTGTTTTCTCTGTTTCAGTCCTAATGAACTGGAACCCTTTCAGGATGTACTCTATCTATTGACTGTGGGAGATACCCATAAGCTCCCCTCAGCTGCTATAGGTAGTGGATTAGTGTACCTATTAAGGGGTTGTAATTTTCCTAATAGATTGTTGTAAAATGACTGCAATCAGATACAGTAGACTACTTCAGATACATAACAAATTAATGATTTTCCTAATTTGTTTATTATAGTTTAGACTGAACAAGAATGCTTGTTATTGGAATGAAAGGAAATGAGTTTTAAGTGGCTGCAATTTGGACCAAATTAGATTATTTATCAGCCACTTGTATTTGGGATCTCGTTCTTTTGGTCATAATCAAGATTTCATTTCCAGCTATCTCATGCTGCTCCATCATTCCCTCCCATGTGAATAAGACCCCAAGATATGTAAACTCCTGCACTGGATTCAGCAGCTATATAAGGGATATAAGCAGCTAAAATGAGCTTCATCTGCAAGGTGCAGAGGTGGCGGGGCACACCCTTAGAGATAGGGCAAGGAGCTTGGTCATCTGTGAGAGGCTTGCAATGGGGCTGCTTTTCCTTCACATTGAGAGGAGTCAGCTCAGGGGTCTCTGAAATCTTTTTCAGATGCCCCCTGGGTGCCTCCCTCAGGATGTGTTCCAGGCACATTTCAACAGGAGATGAACCAGGGGACCCAGGAGACGATGGAGGACTATGGCTCCAATCGTCTGCCCTAATCACTAATTAGGGCACTATATAATGGTTACGTCATTTTAGATGAGTGTCTGAATGTCTAGTGGATGAAAAAGTAGTGGACTCAGACTTTCTTGCAATGCACCTTGAAAAGTAATGATCACTGATGGTAACTAGAGGAGCAGATATATCACAGATTGCTTCGCGAGAGCTCTCATTGTAAAGCAGGCATCCCCAATGTCAGTCCTGGAGGGATGCTGTCCTGCAGGTTTTAGAGGTTTCCCTGCTCCAGCACAGCTGATTTACAATGATAGTTGATTAACAGGTTTTTGCTGGACAGCAATCATCATAATCAGCTGTGCTAAAGCAGAGAAACCTCTAAAACCTGCAGGACATCGGCCCTCGAGGACCGACTTTGGGGATGCCTGTTGTAAAGCATCATGGGATTTGTTGTAGCGACAACTAATGACAAAGATGGCGCTGACATAGTGCAGGGAGGCAGAGTTAAGTGACCAATGGGGGGGCTTCACACCCAATTTTTGCAAAAGTCTTCTTAAAGACTCATGCAAAAATTCAATAAACAGATTTCCTTTTTTAAGAACATACTGATTGAAATTTTTATCTTTATCTTACATAATTCTTTTTCAACAAAATCAGTTAAAATTGTTTTACGAATACTGTTAAAGACTTAACATCTTTGAACTAACCAACCAATGAAACAGTCAATCGTTTAGTCAGTGAGTCAAGTGGCTGATATTTAATCTCTCTTTTATTTTTATAAAGCTTTTATAACCCATATTAACTGTTGTGAATTTGTAAGCAGTTTTAAATTATTTTAATCAGAGGGGACATCATGCCACATGTGGTTGAGTTGACATTTTCTTGAGCATCTTTTATTAGGGATTATTTATAGCTGTTATTTCTAGACACTGCCTTCTTTCTGTGATTTTACATTTCACTGGCAACATCTCCGTGACAGACGGGGCCTAAAATAAGGAAGATAAATGTTTGTAAAACTCTCTCAACCTTTACAAAACCAAGGCAAATCTCTAAACGTCTTTGCAAATGCATCCCTCTAAAGCCATATTCACAATCCTTTTTTTTCCACCTGATTCTGAGAATTGTTGTTTTGCATCTTTTTTGCATCCTTCTAGTGTCTGACTGGCCACTCATTGGGAAGGGCTTATCAGGGAGAAAATAACACAATTCTTTTCACCAGCCAGTTTTTTAGTGAATCTATAATTTACTATAAAACTTTCCACACTTGGTCTCCAACTGACCTTTTTCTTGCTTTTTATGAGGGCCTCTAAGGAGTGGATCTCGGCTGAGTCCAACATGTTAATCAAACATTAGTGCTGTCTCACAGGAGCAGACCAGCGGCAACTCTCCCATAATCCACTTTTGGTTTTACTTACTGCCTCTGGTCAGTGTGATTTTTACAGTAGACTTTTCTCATGGATTTGAGCTCAGACCCACTGGTGTTAATTACAACAGCGTCTCTCTTTCCTCCCCAGACTGTGATTGGCGTTCTTTATTTGAGCAAAGAAGTGCCCTTGTGGCTGTGTACTATGTGTGTATTTGTGAGTGTGTTTGAATTGTGCATCACTTTGATTGCTACGTCTTTTAATAAGAGAAGATCAAGATGCAGAGATTGATGAGCTTTGCTGCTCCTGTGGGCTTCAACAATCTCTTGTTATGATTTTGTCGACTGATTAAATCGAATTTGAAACCTCTTTCACAGAAATTGCAGGTGGAAGATAGGAAGGAGGTGGAGATGCAAAGTAGGGACAGATGGAGGTAAACGAGGAAGGAAAGAGTGTTAAAGAATGGAGGATAGGGAAAGCAGGGAGGGAGCGGAGGTGACCAAAGCAAAGGATTGGGCGGGACTTGCCAGGGGAGCATTTGTAAATCAGGACTCTGGCTCACTGACAGTGCAGAAATAAATACACACACAAACACACATTCCTGATGAGAGAATGGCCTCCGGCACAGAACCAGTGCATCCTGGTTCACATTTAGCGGCCAGCGGGTGGTGGCCTATCTAAAAGGTGTTTTAGGGCATGAGTGAGCCATGTTTTCTCCGCCTGCCCTGCTAGCTTGGCACAACCACTCATATGGACATAATAAGAGGAATGGAAGAAGCAGCAAATAAGACAGACAACCCAGGACATGAAATCAGACAGGGTGAAAAGAGACAAGTTTTGAATTGGCAGCCTTACTTGCTTCATGTCTTTGTGTTTTTCCGGTACTCCTCCTCGCTCCCACCTCTTTCTGAATCCCTTTGTCCCTCCCTGCCTTTGATTTTCCTTTTTTATACTCTATATTCTGCCTAAGACAGTGGCCCTGTCAGGTTGTCGACAGCACTGGATGGATAAGGATATGAGTGAATGGATGGGATGACTTGGGAAAGAAAAGGACAAAGAGCTATTGGGAGCGAGGATGGAGAATGATGGAAAACTCTCAGGTGGGAACTTAGAAAACTTTCCTCACTTCTTAAAGTCCTTTTTTGCTGTATTTTGTACCTTTCTCCTCCACACTCTTATTTAAGGGAATCCTTTCCTTCTCTGTGAATTAACTGGGATGCTTTAGGTGTTTAATCTTGATAACTCCTGGCGTTGTGGGGCTTTCGGGACGTGCGTCACTATGTGTTTGCGTTTGATTGTTGGTTGTTGTCATGAGAGTCACGTAGCTCTGCTGTCTGCCTCTGCCTGCCTCCTGGATGTTCAAAGGCTATGGAGCTCGTTGGTTCCTCCAGGACTCATGCTGTTGCTGCTACCTCATACGCATCGAGCACAAACCCCACCATTGCTTCTTAGATACCGAGTGGGGAGGTTTAAGCCATTTGTATCCAGTGGGGATCGGTTCGTCTTGTTGCAGCTGTTGCTTCGTTTGCTGATGCTGTGAATCACGTCCCTCGTTTTAAGTTTTGTTTTTCCCTTGATGTTGAAGATTACTTTAAATTCTTCTCATTGAAGCTGTCAGCATGCCAATATTCAACCAGTCAGTCCATGTCACCACTCTATGCCTTATGTTCATTTGCCAGTCTCTCTGGTGTCTGCTCACATTCAGTGACAGTAGGGTCTGGGGATTCTAGCAGGAGGATGTTAGCAGGACAGCTGGGCCTGCTACTCTGGTTATTCCTCATAATTACATCCCCCCTAATGGCTTCAGTGACGAGGTCTGTTCTTGTGTTGTAGGGTTACAAAGCCCAGAAGCGCTGACTGTCACTGAAAATAACAAGCGGCTGCCACATTTTTTCTTCATTTTCAATAAACAGTCGAAAAATAACTGTGCAAACACGCAAAGAATGGCACCTTCTACATTTGACACTGCATGATGACAGAAAGTAGTGTGCTTGACTTTTCAGTAAGCCAAAATAGTGGCCTACACCTCTCCTTCCTTCTTTCTTGGTTTTGTTCGCACTACACAAAGTCACAGATTAGACGTGCATATCTGGGTGTGAGTGTCAGTGTGTTTTACACACACGAAGCATTACTTGTTTCAGCAATTGGCCTTTTTATGCTCTTTTGCATTGTTGCTTTATGTGAAGACACTTTCTCCACCCTGTTAATTAGTCAAGCGAACCCCCAGAGTTCAAACATTATTTATTCATTGAGCCCTCAGTTCGATCTCATCACTGAGTGGCGAGCTAATGGGTGTCTGCGTGCGTGCTTTTGTGTGCATTTAGGATCAGCGCCAAGGAGTTCAAGGAGTATTTCATGCACACACTCCCACACACACACCCACCAGGAGTTGACTTTTAACTTATCAGCAGCTTCAGAGATTAAAACAAAGCAAACTTCCCTTGAATAAATTACCTTTTGTGCCTCTTAATACACCTACAAAATGTTGTCTCCTTTGAAACAGTTTAAAGGATCTAGACAGCTGAATAACAGGTAGTAGGAGATCAAAAGTGGGCAGCTGACATTTTCTTATGTGCTGAGATTTCTTTTAACTGTACAGCAAAAGTTGGGCGTAATGCTTCAAAGTCAGGTGTGTATTTAAAGAGCTTGTGTTCTTATCTTTAACTACAGTCTGTTAGCTGCCAACCTTGAAATGAACAATCTTTTTTTAAAGGAAAAACATTTACTTATTAGGGATGTGCAAAATTCTTCTACTGTATGTGTGCACTTGTTTTGTATTTAAGGGCGAATATTTATTCTATTCTTAGATGAGAATCAATTTATAGTTTTTAGGATTCTAAAAGGTTTATTCTTGGCTTGTTTTTCAATTTTCAGTGTTTATTCTCATAATTTTAACTATTATTTATTGTATGGTTGTTGGGAGATTGTCAAAGCCTGTGTTTTGCTTTTCTTGAGCTATTTTTTGCCTTTGTCTTTAGTATCATTATTACTGCTTTTTGCACTCTGCCTTTCATTCAGTTCCTCCACTTCACAAGTTTTAAACTTTATTTTGTACCCACGGATTGCCCTTTTATCCTTTCTGACTATAAATCTATATTTTTTAACATTAAATAAACTGCTTTGAAGCCTACATTGCGTACCAGTTTATTGTTTGTTGTGGGTCTTTAGATGATGTAACTGAATCTAGTTATTTCAACGTTTTCCTTAGGAAGAGCACTGACTAAAAGTTGGAGGACAAAGAAGCCCTTTTGAGTGCATATTTACTAACCAGACTGAAGTGGCATAGTGGCGTAGTGGATGAACGCTGAGAGCAAAGCAACATTTTTCAGAGTTAACAAATCTGAACTTCTCTGTTAATTTGCAACATGTTAACCAATCGGGGACTGGATGTAGTTGTGACGTGGAGTTAACTAGTGTAATGGAAGCTTTTTTTTCAGTTAAAGAATCACCAGAGCTGGTTGATGGGTCCCCCTTCATCAGAGCAGCTCTGGAGCAAATGGGGGTACTAGCCTGATCTGATGGCACTGATACCGTTGTTTGGTCTTTCATATCACCTATAGCACTGTGACTTTCTCAAAGTTGAAAAGGCAACAGGAATCAACCTTGTACCGTGTTCTGATGCTCCTCCTAAGTGATGACATAGTAACGTGAGTTGGTTGGAATGTCACTGTTTGGGAGTAGAGCAACCAACTCCAGGCGATCCATGTGGAGACAGGCGCTCATAAGTGATTTTATCCCTGATCTAATCAAAGCAACTAATGGAGCTAAAGCTGTTTGATATTATTTATGAAGTTTTTTATTTTATTTTAAACAAATAATTATAAGTAGATCCAAAAATCGATGTTATAAATATTAATTTCTGCACATTTGACACAAAATGTACTATGACAGAAGACGCCATATAGAACCCACAAATAGTACAATTAGGAGTACAAGCAACCAAAATCATTAATCTTTTAAACTACTAACTTGTCAATCAAATTAATTTATTTTTTAATCCCTCCAAGTTTAGCCATAAACTGTTGAGGTGTTTACAAGCTTAGCTTTAGGATGCTCTGACACAACTTTGTCAGTAATGCTTCAATGTAAATTGTTGTTGAGCTCTGATATAAAAATAAATGGTATTTGCTTTTATACTTCTGACAAAAACCGGTACTGCTAGAATACGGTAGAAGGATCTACAAGGAAAATCTGTCTGCATTCAGTAAGTGGGGCTGTCTTTCATTTTAGGATACTTTCCCTTGGAGTGTAAATGTCAGAGACTAGAGGGAATCATCCACCAAGTCAGATATGACTGCTATATATATTTACCTACTGTACATAAATATGCCACTGCTGTATACTGTTGGTACAGTAAAATAAAGCCTGTGTATCTGGTTTTGTGGGGTTTTTGATCTTAACTTGCTATTTTTGAGAATTTTCAGTTTCAGTTTTCTATGATTGATGCCTGTGATTGTAGTTTTTTTAAAAGTGATTTTTCTTTAGCATTTTTTCGTATGTATCTTTTGCACCATTCTTGTCATTGGACCATCTTTTTTAGTTGCTGCTCATTTTCACCTGCCCCTCACTCACCTTTGGTCAGTTTTTTTGTACCTATGTGTAAGGAATTAACATCATATGTTTAAAAAAACAGCCACAACTCTGTGCTATAACATTACCAGACAAATTTATCAGAATTAAAATTTTACATAAAAGATGGTAAGCAAATACAAAACATTTGCATAATACTACATATTCACATATGAAAGATTTATCCTGTGTTAGTTTACATGGTAAAAGGTGCCTTCCTGTAGACTGCATTATCTTAATCATTTAAAAAATGTGAAAGACTAAAATGTAGAGTTATCCAATCATCACAGTGCTTGCAGGAGCCAGTGTAATTAAAGCATTTACCTTGGCCTAAATAGTTAGTCACATAGCTGGTTTCCACTTTAGATTCTTAACAATAGCTAATGGTTAACTCAGTGGTGCAGAGGATGAATGAGTACGCACTCATCCAAAGTACATTAACAGTGATTCACTTTAACAGTAGCAGCTCTGCTGGCCCCTGTCTTTCTCCAGGCATGGTTGAAATGCTGCTTGGATTTTTTAGGAACCTTTCTTGTAAAAATCAAATTGAAGAAAACATGAAATCTAAGGGTGACACTGCTTGTGGAGAGGAATAGGAGAGGAGATGATGAAGGGTTTTTGGCAGGATTTCTTAGAGCTCCATCTTACCCTCAAAGTGAGGTTTCTCTTTGATATATTTTCCTTTTTCCTTGGCAGTCACGTTGACATGACACGAAGGCTCGACCTCTGGCTTTACAGTAGCTCTCTCTCTCTGCGGGGTTCTGCTCTCTCCACCAGTTTTCAGGTTATTTTTAGAATCTATCAGCAGTGGCAATTTTCTAGAGAAATTGTTTTACCTGCACTGCTGCTCTTCGATATACGTGTATGGATGATGCTCTTACAAATGGATGCACTACTCCCAATATCACATGAAGAACACTTTTAAGGACGAGTGATAATTTAACACAACACAGCAGTGTTACTTCTTATAAAACAAGCGTCTCTTAACTTATCCAGGCACAGGAAGCTTTTTTCTGTTATTCCTCAGAGTGATCACGTATTGATGATGTTCAGGAAGAAACTATAATGACTTTTCCTGCCAGCCGAAGGTCATTTCCGGTCACTTAACCTGGATGTTCAAGGATTTCTGCTATAATTTGAGTATAAACAGGCTGGGTTCAAAAACAGTGCCCAAATGTTAATCTTTGTAGTTCTGAGTTTGTTTAAAATGTGATCCATATTTGAATGGAAGAATTTAGATAACATGTTTGACTCATCATTTGCATTTGTGAGGAATCTGATAAGATTGCCTCAGTAATTAAAATTCTGATTGTTTTTTAAAAAATCCTTATAATTAAAGAAAACTAGTCAAAATCCTTAAAGGCTAAAAATATGTCAAATTAATCTTCTTTTAATCCAGGAAAGGCATTCTTTGATGTGATAGTTTAACTGTCATCTTTTCTGTTCTTTTTTATGTGATTAATTTCCATGTGATGTTTTTTTTTTTTCTAGATGTTTGACCACTACAGATAAAAACGTAATATTTTAAGAA